CTGGCAGCCCCTGGAATCCTGTGGCACTGTCCTGAGGGATGGACAAGGCAGGATGGAGGGGACCTCCTGGGTGCTGGAGGAGCAGGAGGCACAGCCAGCTGACAAAACCCCAACCTCAGCTTGAGTCATTTATTTTTACAAAAAAAACCATGGGATTTAAGCCAAACCAGGGCTTTGAGCTCCTTAAAGGGTTGGGCTTGGCAGAGCCAGGCTGTGACCTGGGGAAGGGGACAGAGACCATGGCCTGACTTCAGATGGGGACTTCTCAACATCCCACCTCGCCATGACAAGTGCTTTGGTCAGAGAGCTCCTACACCTCAGGGCTGATTCTGCCATCCCAGCCTGGCTGCACTGCAGCTCCAGCCACCCCTGCCCTGGCTCTGCCCCAGGGACTGCACCATCAGGATACAAACCTGGAATAGACACCTTTTCCATCATCTGCTGCTCCTTAGATCCTTTGTGCTTAGGTGAGATGACCCACAAAAGAAGGGCCAGGCCCAGAGCATCCACAGCACCCTCATGGATCCTTCCCAGGAGCCATTTTCCTTAAATCCCTGCCCTGGCAGAACCCCCAATTCCCACCCCAAACCCTCCATCCCCATTCTCACCAGCTGCTGCATCCCCAGTGGGATGTGCTATAGGGCCTTTGGGGTGACCAGACAGCCCCAGGAAACACCACCAGCCCTGGGCTGAACTGGACTCATTCCTGTGGCCAACAGGAATTTAGTGAGGGAAGGACCCTGGGCCTAGATGTGGCCACTTGCTTCCCTTGCTGCAGGTCAAGCTGCATTTTGCCAACCCCCTGTGCTGATCCGGGGCCCCTTTTGGCTCCCGGGGATCAGGGAATCCTTCCACCTGCCCCCCAAAGCATCCTGCTGGGCTCACAGGCATCCATCCTGCAGCCACCTTGTTAGTGGGTTCCCTCAGCTGCCTGAGGCTCCCGGATTCCCCCCCTCTGCAGCTGCTTCCCACTGGAGAGCTCCCTGGGAGGGGCAGGAATCCCTATCCCTGCTCTTCATCACCAGGTCCCCTCGGTCCTGCTGCCATTACTTAATAAGGTCATTTTAGCAGTTCAGGGGGTGCTGCAAGGAGGGGTTTGGTGCCCATCTGGTGCCACAGCAAGTTGCATTCTCCCAGTGCCCAGTTCAGGGCTGATGCAGACCCCTCAGCACCATCCCCTCCCCATGCAGGGAGATGCAGACTCAGGTGTGGGGGTTCCCCAGCCCCCACCTCTCACCCCAGACCCCAAGGGTGACCCCATCTCCCACCACCTCAGCCCCCACCTCTCACCCCAGACCCCAAGGGTGACCCCATCTCCCACCACCTCAGCCCCCACCTCTCACCCCAGACCCCAAGGGTGACCCCATCTCCCACCACCTCAGCCCCCACCTCTCACCCCAGACCCCAAGGGTGACCCCATCTCCCACCACCTCAGCCCCCACCTCCATCGTTTTCCATCCAGCCTCAAGGATTTGCTGTGGGGCCTCCCAGTGATCTGAGTTTCCCTTTGAAGTTCCTGCCACACCCTGACACTGATTTATCCCTGAACAGGAACAGGGCTCAGCTCTCCCAAGCATCTCCCCAGCAGTGCCAGGCAGCCCCAGAACACAGCTCCATCTCCATCCCTGTCCCCCCTGTGCCCTTCCCAGCCCCTCTGCTCTCCTCCGTTATATAAAACCACCCTAGATTTTAGCCACTCTGCCATGAGACCCTGCAGATTAAATCTCCCTGCTGGGGGAGGAGGGAGGGACTCCATAAGATCTCAGAGGGCAGATTAATAGCTTGATTTTTTAATATTCATAACAATGCTGGTTTGTGTCCATCTCTCAGAAACCCCCATGTCCTGTTGATTAGTTTAATACTGATAATAGCAACAAGTGCATTAACCACCAGCAGCCACCGAGGATAAGAGGGCAGGGGGGGGAGGACCCCCAACGATGACATTTTTAATGTTTTTAAGTGCTGGCTTTTATCAAGGTCAGAAAACAAGAGGAGTTGGAAAGCACAAACCTCCCAGCATGGGGGAGGTGGGTTGGGTGCTGGGAAGATCAACCCCAGCCCAAGGTTTTGGGGAATGAGGTGGTTTTCCCAACCCACCCAAATCCATCACATTGGGACCCTCTGGAACAGTGTCCATGTCCCATCCCTCCTGCTGAGCCCTCCTATAGCCCCCAGGCTGGGGGGTCACCCAGCAGGCTGTGAATGTCCCCAGGGCTCCTCCAGGAGATCATTTGGTGGCTGGATAAAATTAGATGGATGGAGACAGATTAGCTGAACAGCTGAAGGGAAGAGACAGGCAGATGGATGGGGACAGTGGATCAGGGAAGGAGGGTGGGAGCACAGGGTTGGGGTCCCTCCCAAGGCCAGCTCAGCCCACCAGCACTGGAACAGGTCTGGTGGAACAGGTCTGGAGTGGCTGGTTTTTTTGGGGGGTGACATTTGGGAGGTTCAACAGTTGCAGAGTCCAGGCTGGTTTGCTACAGGGAAAAGGAGTCAGGGCACAGGGTGCCAGGGCTCTCCCAGCTGCAGCCTCTGCACAGAGCTGGGGGTACCCCAAAACACAGCTGGTACCCCACAGTACAGCTGCCCAGAGACCCCAAACCCTGGGGGAATGCTCTGCTTTTGGGTCAGGAACCCACTGCTCCTACCCAGCTCCATCCTGGATGCTCCATCATCCTCTTGACACCACCCATGCCATGGGGCACAGGCTCCAAGTTCTCAGCACAGGACTGTGCCTGGCAGGGCCACTTTTTTTGGGGGGGGAGGGGGTGGAGGTTCCCCTGGGATCAGCATCAGGGCTCACAGCAGCCCCAGCCAGGGCTGCTCAGGCTCAGCACCTCCCAGAGTTGCAGCATCAAACCAGACACCAGCTGCCTCCTAAACCCACCCCCAGCCTCCTTCCAGCTGCTCCTTATATCTCTCCAACTGGATGTAACTGGGCCCAGTTTTCAGCTGTTCAGCATCAGCCTGGGATTAACCCTGTCCATGCCACTCCAGGCCTGCTAGGAACGGCCCCCATGGGGAGAAGAGCCCAGAGGCCACCCTCTCCCACCACCACCCCAGAGTTTAGGAAGGAAAAGGGAAGAGATTCAGCAGGGCAGGGCACATGCACCAGGATCAGGACATCTGGATCAGAATTCCCAGTCCAGGGAAGGAAGCATGGAGCTGCTGGCTGCCCATGGCAATGAACCCTGCTAGGCTGCAGGACCTCGGGAAGTTGGTGATGCTTCAAAATCACCTGGGGGAGGAGGGGGGGGGATAAAAAAAATCAACCCTCATTTTATAACACATCAAAGGAGAAAGCACCTGGTGCTGCCAGGTGAGAGGGCACAGCCCCTGTACACACCATCAGCACCCACAGAGCTGCAGCAGCCCAGGGGTGGCATCGCATCATCCTGCCAGGCAGGTGCCTCCTGAGGACTCCTGCCTCACTTGGCATCACCCACAGGACACCTCTTGCCTCTCAGATCCCATAAAATCCTGCCAAAGGGAGGGCAAAGGAGCTCACTTCTCCCCGTCCCCTCTGGCTCCAGGCACAAGGAGCCCACGATGTGCCCGCACGTCCCTTTGAAACCTCCTTGTCCACTGCAAATCCCCCCCCTGCCTCCTCCCCAGCTCACGGGTTTAAGTGGATTTCCTCTCCCTGTGGTGAACAACAATGAAATCAAGACAGAAAGAAGGGAATAATCCCCGGCTGCCGGGCCCTTTAAATGGATTTCACCGTATCCATTTCTCCCCCGTTCCCGTGCGTGTGTGTGTCTGTGTGTGTGCACATCCCTGACGTCAGGGCAGATTTTGAAGTTGCCCGATGCTGGCCATCTGCTCCTGATTATGGGAGGCCCTGAGCTCCTTAAAATTACATGTGGAAAGGCTGACATCCCCTTCCCGGCCGTGGGGAGAGCAGGAGAGCATCAGGTCGGGTTGGAAGCAGCACATCCCTGCCAGAGCCATTGAGCCCTGGTCATCAGAGCCTGGGGGAAAGGGGAGGTCAGGGATCCACACCTGGCAAAAGCCACCATGGAAGGAGCTTGGTCCATCCTGTGTGGTCAGAAAGTGATATCCATGGTTGCTCCATCGTTTCTGGGAGTTTTGGGGTAGGAGTCCAGGGAGGGTCCCAGGGTTGTGGCTAAGGGGTGTCTTCTCCCACCCATGCCAAAGCAACAGGAGACAGGTCAAGGAAGGACCAAGCAGTGGTTATACTTTGGGGTAGAGTTTTTTAAGGATTTTAGGAGGAATGAAGCCAGCAAGGGAGGTGGGAACCCCCTCTGTCCTCCAGTTGCTGCTTTGGGAAAGGTCTGTAGGTAGTTTTGGGAGCCCTGAATTGCAAACAGCCAGCACATGGGGTCAAACTGGATCAAACAGGCAAATCCACACGGCCTCATGCCCTGTGGTCATGCCTGGGGTCCTCCCCACAGCCCCTCTTGCTCCCAGAACACAGAGCCAGTCCTCGTTCCCCCCATGCCTCAGTTTCCCCATGACAGGAGTAAGATGAGCCTTCTTCTGAGCACTCCATGACAGACCCTTTAGGAGATGTCCCTGGGGACCACCACACCAAATCCACCATGTCCCGGGGTTGGGAGGGACATGTGGTCAGGCTCACCCCTGTTGTCCCCATCCAGGACACTAGGTGGTTGGAGTCAGTCCCCAAAACCTGCCTGGCAATTGCAGGCCAATTAACTACGACATGATTACAAGCAGCATGCTTAATGAGGTTAAACCACTACCTGGGCATTCTGAGTTCTTAATTACCTACTCTTTAATTGCTGCTCTAAAGCGCATTAATATAAATGACTGTGACAAAAGAAGAGGGAAGATGCAACCGGTGTGGGCTGGGACACTGCAGAGACACAGCCCTGTCTTGGATCAGCTTCCAAATCCTGCAGGGCTTTAAAAAGTCCTTTTATGCCAAAAAATGTTTTGTGCCTGAGGGAGGGTGGGGAGGGTGGGTGGGTGTGTTTGTGTGTCCCCCCTGAGCCTGTCTCTGCTCCACAGCCTCGTGTTTCCGGTGCCTGGTGGACGTGGTGCCGGTGAAGAATGAGGATGGAGTTGTCATCATGTTCATCCTCAACTTCGAGGACCTGGCCCAGCTGATGGCCAAGAGGGGCAGGCGGAGCCTGCACCGGCGGCTGTCGCAGAGCTGGCGTGGAGGTGAGTGTCACCAGGGCTGGTGGGGAGGGGTGGGAAGGCAACCAGCAGCCTCGGGGCTGGCCCCGTCCCGGGGTTTTCTGCCAGGGAGATGGTGGAGGCTGAAGGTTGCAGCAGGGTAGGATCCTGGGGCTGAGCCCCACAGGGTGCCCAGGAGCAGAGGGTTGTGTTCTTGCACGCCCACATCTCTGCTGGCTTGGGGACTGATCTGGCCCAGCACCATCCAGGTGGGAAAAGGGCTCGTGTCCAGACCTGCCTGCACATCCCTCCTGAGCCCCCAGGGTCCAGGGGACAGGGATGGGGACTGAGCCCCCTGGGAAGGGATGGGACATTCTTAAGGTGAGGGCATCTCGTGGCCAGTGGAGCCATCGAGCCCCTCCACACCTCCCAGATTTAGTGCTGGGAGGTTTTTCCAACGGCACTTTCGGCCCCTCCTGCCTGGCTGCAGCACCATGTTGGCTGGGGCAGGAGGTGCTGGTGTGGGACAGGACCCGTTTGTGGGGTCACCAGGAGGGCCAGGGGATAACCAGTGTCACCACCAGCAGGGCTGTGCTATGGGGACATCACCCCAGGTGAATGGCACAAGGAGGGTTGTGCTGGGATGGCTCTGAGCCTGCCCCAGCTTTGGGCTGATCCCCACTGTCCTGGGCTCATCCTGGGGTTTTGTGGGGCTTTGGGAAGCAGTGAAAAATTCAAACTCCCTTTTTTTGGGAAGGTTGGATCAAAGGGGAGCCGTGGTGAGGCTCTCAAGGGGATGTGGATCCCCAGGGATGCAGATGTTAGTCCTGCCCTTGGTTTGAAGAGCTGTAGCTTCTAAGTATCCTCCTGTTACACACTCCTTGGTGCCACTCACCTGTATTTTAGACAGGGACATAATCCCACGTCTGTCTCCATGGAAACACTCCCTGGGGATGTGGGTCACTCCAGGGAACCTTTGGGCAAGGCTCACAGTAAAGCTGTGGGAGCAGCCTGGGTCTGTCCCCCTATGGCATGTGGGCTGGGACAGCAGGACCAGGACCAGCTCCAGGGTCAGGGCCACATCAGGGACCAGCAGGGACCCTCAGTGACCCATGGGACCCTTAGGGACCAATGGGGGCCCTTAGGGACCGACGGGGACCCTTAGAGGGGCTGACAGGGCCCCTTCAAACTGCATTACTGTGGTGATGTGAGTTTGGATTTGTTCACACTGGTGCATCATCCCAGAGCCGTTGAGGAGTTTGTGTGCATAGCAGCAGGTCCCAGGGGAGATGCTGTGTGTGGTGCTGGGGCTTGTGTCTCCCCAGGGCAGGGGAACACACAGGGGACCCAGGGACACATGCGTGGGACATATACACACCCTGTACCCGTGTTCCTGTGGCTGTGAACAGTGAGACATATTTCTGATGTATTGCTGTGGTACCAGTTAACCTCCAGGCACAGGTTGCCCAGGACACCCTAAACACAGACCCCTCCACTCTCAGGATGTCCCAACACATGACACATCCCTACCCCATCCCTCCCCACCACAGGGTGTATGTTCAGCTCTGAAAGGCACCTGAATACCAAGGATACCTGATGACTCTCTTGTATGCAAGAGAAACAAGCTCAAACTCAAGAACTGAAACTAAATAGACAACTTTTCTCTTTCTGATGAAAAAAAAAAATAAAAAATAAAAAATATGCGTCTTTATGAGCAGTTCTGGACTGTAAAGAAATCTGAATTTTGCTTCTGGAGCCCCCAGACAGGAAGGCCATGGAGCTGTTGGAGTGAGTCCAGAGGAGGCCATGAAGATGACCCAAGGGCTGGAGCAGCTCTGCTCTGGAGCCAGGCTGGGAGAGTTGGGGTGTTCAGCCTGGAGAAGAGAAGGCTCCAGGGAGACCTTAGAGCAGCTTCCAGTGCCTGAAGGGGCTCCAGGAAAGCTGGGGAGGGACTTGGGACAAGGGCAGGGAGGGAGAGGACAAGGAGGAATGGATGAAACCTGGAAGAGGGAGATTGAGGTGAGACCTGAGGAGGAAATTCTTTGCTGTGAGGGTGGTGAGAGCCTGGCCCAGGTTGCCCAGGGAAGCTGTGGCTGCCCCATCCCTGGCAGTGTTGAAGGGCAGGTTGGATGGGGCTTGGAGCAGCCTGGGCTGGTGGGAGGTGTCCCTGCCCATGCAGGGGGGTTGGAACTGGTTGGAATCTTTAAGGTCCCTTCCAACTCAAACCATTCCATGATTCTATGGTTTCCTTCCTGTTGGATACTGTGCATCCCAGGGAGAATTGCTTGGTGTTCCCACTCCAGCGCTGGGGAGTGCAGAGCGGCCGGAGCTGCTGGCACCAGCCCAAGTCTCTTGCATGTTTTCTGTCTCAATCTTTAACTCCACGGCCACGGGCAGCTGCAGGGCCTGGTCCTTGGCTCACTGGTGTGCAGAGGAAGGCAACTGCTTTGCTTCTTCCAGCACTAGAAGAGGACGAGTGACTTTGTACAGGGTGTCACGACCAGGGGCAGTGGGTCCCGCTGTGGGCACTGCTGGTTCCTCCCCACCTCTGGCCCCTTCCTCTCCTCAACCCCTTCCCAGCTCCTTGCAGCTCCAGCTGCCCTTGCCTCAGTCCCAGGCTCTGTCCAGGTGGTTTCCTGGTCCCTTGGGATGGCAGCAAGGGATCCCCCTCTTCAATCCAGTGCCCTCCACCTAAAATCCAGAACAGCTCCAGGGACAAAATTGCCTCAACCCCTTTTTTTCATGCTTTGCTAACTTGCGCGGTTTGGATTTTTATCCCCCCAAAGTCCCACCAAGGAGATTTAGAGGCTCAATTTCCTCCAGCTCCCAATCCCTTAAGTGGCTTGAACTTCTTTAACCAGCTTGGGGATGCTCTGCACCTTTCCTGTCTTGCATCTATAGTCGTCAGGGACTCTCCTCCCTTCCCAGTGGTGCCTTCTGCCCAGGTCAGGGTTTTGCCCTGAGCACACGGAGCCGCGAGGGCGCGGGAACAGCCGGCGTGTTGGAGGAGGAAGGGCCACACAGCAGCCACGTCCCCCAGAGCCACCAAAAATTCTCTGTAGCCTCTTCCCCGGCCGTCACGTGCAGCTAGGTTACATCTGTCTCTCTTGTGTTTTGTTTTGTCTTTTTTTTTTGTTTGTTTGTTTTTTAACAAGGTGAAGGTAGGAGTTTGAAGTTTAGTCTCCCGTCCCTGCGGCGACTCAAAACCCAGCGGAAATCTCTGCCCACCAGTGAGTTTGATGGAGTAGCCATTGACTATGGAAAGGTAACTGCAGCCTTTGTCTGATGTCAGCCCGTGCCTCAGGCAGGTCCTGGTGCTCTTCCTCTGCTCTTCCCATCCCGCTCCCCCTCGGCTGCTGTGGCTCGGGCTGTATCCGGCGGGAAAGGCTCCGGCACTGGGTCAGCGCTGGGCACTGGTCCCAGAGAGGGCTGGTGGTGAGCGGTGGTGCTTTGGTGGCATGGGACAGAGCTAGATGGTGCTGCTCCACGGGGACCTCCCACGGCTGGTGAGGGGAGCAGGAGATGCCCTGGAGCTGGGAGGAAGGTCTGGCTCTGTAGCACAAGTTGTCTGGATGGTGGAGCTCCAGGGAGTTGTCTCCGTGAAAGGGACTTGCTGGTGACTGCAGGAGGCTGAAGCAGGTCTGGTCTGAGCAGGGACTGGCAGGGACTTGCAGGCAGACCTCGAATGGGCACGTTCCCCACGTTCCCCTGGCAAGGAACAGGCAGTGCAGTGAGCTCTGGCTCAGTCCTTCAGCCAAGCTCTGCTGTCCGTGATGGAGGGCGAGGTGGTCATTGCTGACACGGTGAGATTGTAAAGGTGTTGGTGGGACCTCTTTAGAGACTGCTTGGTCGTGGTGGCTTCTTGACTCTCAAAAGTGCTCGAGGTACCTCTGGGCAAAGATGTGTTGGTTTCTGAAAGGCTGCAGCTTGAGGCACGGGGCTGTGGCCCGAGGCTTTTGCTCTGCTAACGCATCCCCAGGCACCAGGTTCTCGCTCTGCCGCATGAGTCCGCACAGCCTGGATGAAGCTGCTTCCCAAAATGACAGATACCATGAGGTGAAAGGTGCCTGTCCTCTCAGGGGTTGTGCTTATGGCAAGTGGAAGACATCTGTAGCATTACCAGATGTCTGGGGCTGTCCCTCCCACAGACACCAGCGCTGCTGAAGGCTCTGGGTACCCCCAGGTGCAGTTGCATGGGGCACTGCAGTGTTGCAGTTGTACACACATGGAAGGTGTGCATTGAGGACAACCTGATGACCCACCACTTTGGTGGAGCCTGGTCCAAGTCAGGGCAGCCCAGCAGATGGCAACTCCATCCTAAAACCTGCAATAAGATCCCTAGGGATGGTGAGAAGTGTCACAACATGCCTTGGGCATAGACACAGAATCCCAGTCCCTCCCGTGGGTGTGACTGGTCTGGGTGTAGACCCATAGGTTTCTGCCCCCCATTGCAGAAGTCGTTAAAGGCTGAAAACTCTTTAGGTCTCCAGGGAAAAATGTTTAGCAACAGCCAAGGGGTGATGTAGGAGAGGGAGGATCACACACGGCCCAGCAGCTCCTCCAGTTCTTCCTAGTGCAGAGCACATCATCTCCCAGAGACACCAGCACAGGTTCCCTGGTCACCAACCCTTGGTGGTGGCCTGGGCTCTTGCAGTGGGTGAGGGAAGGGCAGGTCCAGCAGTGGGACACAGGGACACCTTGGAGAAGAGCAAGGCAGGTACTCCAAGGAAGCCAATCCCCAGGCTCTCCTCTTCTCCTCTTGCTCTGGCTTGCTTCCCAGCTGCTCAGCATCGCCTTGCAAACCACCCCGCAGCCCCCAGCCTGCAGCAGGAGCTGGCAGGAGGTAGGAGCTGCCAAGTCCTCCAGGACTTGGTGGCCCCACCGCAAAGCAGGTCCAGGTCCTAGCTGGAGGTGACCTCAGGAACCGCAGCCCTTCCCAGCCCCTCTGCCCCTCCTCTAACCTCCCCTGGCTCCCTCTCCTTCCCCCCCAGCCCGCGAGGACTCCTTCTAATAAAACGCTTTCTCCCGGCTGTCTTAAAGCCTGGTGGTGACTCCCTGATTTTGAGGGACTTGAAGACATCGTCCAAGGAGAACTGTGTGCAGTCAGAGATCGAATCCCTCCTGGAAAAGGAGCGGAGGCCGAGCCTGGAGGCCGATCCCACCCTACAACACTCGTCCCCGAAACAAGAGCCTCCCTTGCTGGGCCCACGAGGGTCGTTCTCTGCCTGGGGTTTCTTTCGGTCCCGCCCCGGGGGCAGCTTCCACAGCCTCCGCAGGGTCTCCTCCTTGGACAACTTTGAGGCTGCGAGGTCTGAGTTCCAGAGAAAATTCAGGGAAAGGAGGGCAAACTCAGGTAGGGGAATAACCCCGGAAGTGTCTGTCCTACTGCGGGAGCCGCGGCGCTGGGCGATGGCCCCGGCGTGGCTCAGGGGGGGAGGTCTCTTACCCTGCACTGCTTTTCCCTTTGCAAAGTGGAGATGAGCTGGGGTCTTCTCCCCAAAACTTGCGGGTCTCCGTGTGGTTCCCTGCGTAGGCAGGTCCTGTTCTTTGGGTGGAACCATCCGTGGTGTCGTGCGTGAGGTGCGAGGTGGCGTGAGGTTGTGTTTGGCTGCCCCACATTGAGGGGTGTCCTGATGCTGTCCCACCTCCCCGGCAGGGAGGGAAGGGGTCTGCAGGCATGTGCAATATGAGCTGAGTCCATGTGTTGGAGGTGGAGGAGGTATTGGCCAGGCCACTCTGTAGGGCTGGAGGAACTGTATCCCCACCATGGTGTTCGTGTCCAGACCTCTAGTTCTTGTGAGAGAGATGATGACAAATAAGATGGTCAGGCAAAAGGAGCCTCAGTAACTGGGGGTGGAGAGAGATCAGTCCATGGTGTCTGACTTGACAAAATGGGGTGGGGAATCGTGATCCTCAAAAAGGCACAGGTTATGGACCCTCATGGGGAGGACACAACGTTGGAGGAAGGAAGGGGAATGAGCAGGGAGGAGAAGGGTGGCAGCAGGATGGCTGGTGCCAACTGGGCACCTTCACAATGTCTTCAGACACCTCCTGCTCGTGACACCTTTTGGGTCAATGTCAGAGTCCAAGGGACAAAAAGGGTAAAGAACTGAAAATATAACCCTGCCCTGCCTGCAGGAGATAGAGAGGTTGGGACACACTGGTTATGGAGCTTGGGGATGTTCCTCAAGCCCTGGGTGTGGGTACATGCTCTCTTCCCTGACTACACATTATCACAAGCCTGACCACGGAACTGACCACCTCTGGGGCTTCTTCCATGGTCCTGCACTGAGGTGACCCAGAGAGGCAGGTTCCCAAGTCCCCAGAGAAAACTGCTGGGATCCAGCTCCGCTACAGCTCTTCTTCAAGAGAAAGCTCTGACTCCCTGCATGGAGCCTGGGGATGCAGGATGCTTCCAAGTAGGGACATCATCCAGCTCCTGGCTGGGTTTGGTGGACAAAAAACAAGACAGCAACTCAGGAGCTATGTGGGTCAGGATGAAGCATGCAAGGGTGGAGAAGACCCACCTCCCCCTTTACCCATTTTTACACCAGTTTTGGTATGTCTCCCTGGTGGGTCTCACTGGGGCTGGTCCCCAAACTGCCACAATCTTCAGCGGTACCAAAGGATATTGGGTCCCTCTGTATTTTGACAGCTGGTCTGAGCCCCCAAGGGAAGTTTAATGGTGAAAAGATGGGTGACATGTCTGAAAAGCAGCCCCCTCTCAGGCATAGCAGGTTGGGCATCCCATGTCTGAGCCACCCCAAAGAAACCAAGGCAGATATTGGTACCTTCTGGTGGCACCTTGTGGAGGTCCCAAGCTCCTGAATGTCCTACACCAAGGTCAGGGCTCTGCAGGTTGACTTATGCTCCCACTGCTCTTCTCAACGCTCCTCTCCATCCTCTTCCAGAGGCTTCCCACGTCAAACTCAACCCTCCAAACTCCACCTCAGACTCAGACCTCATGAAGTACAGGACCATCAGCCAGATCCCTCAGTTCACGCTCAACTTTGTGGAGTTCAACCTCGAGAAGCATCGCCAGGGCTCCACCACCGAGATCGAGATCATCGCACCCCACAAGGTGGTGGAGCGCACCCAGAACGTCACCGAGAAGGTCACGCAGGTATGTGGGCACTGGGATGCCACCCAGGCAGTGGCAGGGTGGTGGTGCTGCCACCAGGGTATGGCCACAACCATTCCTGTGGCTTTGGGGGGAGAGGAGCGGAGAAGACAGTGACACCTGGAGTTTCTGTCCTAGGGAATGTCAGCATCCCTGGGTTTGAGTTTTACCTCTTCCTCTGAATGGTTGAAATGCTCTTCCCCCCAAAAAACACCAGAGTATTTCTGGTAATTTGGCTGGGGGAACATCAGCATGAACTGCCCATAGTGTCACAGTGGCCTTGAAGGGGACACAGACGTGAGCATGTGTTTGTGTGTGTGTCTTCATTTGGGAGGGAGGCTCTGGCCACCGTTCCCTGCCCCCCAGTGCCAGGGATGGAGCCCCCAGGGATGGGAACCCCACGCCTAGAGCATGGGTGGCCACACCAAGGCCCACAGGATCTCCTGGGAGACAGCAGGTGGCACTGCACTGTCACCAACACGCGTGGCACTGCCCTGTCACACACACGTGTCTGTGCTGTCACCGTGAGGGACACACGGATGTCAGTGTGTGTGAGAGGTGCTGCTGTGTCCTGCAATCCCGAGCAAGGAGCTCTTGCCAGTGGGGAAACTGAGGCACGGGAGAGGCAGGATGTACAAAACACACCTAAGGGCACCTCCCACCACTGCCAGCAGCAGCTGAGGGTCAGTTGAATGAAAACGCAGCCAGCTGAGCCCAGAAAAACCTCTGGGCTTGTCAGTTTGTTCCATCAGAGAGGAATGCTCGGTGGGGTTTTCTTCCTGCATAGTAAGCAGCCCCTCTTCCCCATCACAGGGGACACCCAAGGGGACACCCACACTCTGGGGAGCACTGCTGTGTGCTGGGGTGACACTGGCATGGTGGCACCAGCCGCTCCATGCAGGGTCATGAGGTGGTTGTGGGGTGATGGGGTTGGAGCTGATGGGTGGTGGCTGCAGGGCCCCGGGGTGCAGCTCTGGGGCACCCACAGAGGTCAAGCTTCCCTTCACCTAAAATCTCCAGGCAGGATGGGGTGGGATAGGATGGACCAGGAAGGGACACAATAGGATGGACCTCTCCTCCCCACCACATCTCCCCATGGCCTCAAGGGACCCAGGTGTCCTGCCTGTCCTCACCCTGAGATCCCCTGTGCCTCCTGCCAAGCCCCAGCTCCCTGCTCCCAGCTGCTGAACAATCCCTGGGGGAGACAGAGGCAGCAGGAAGATGCCACTAACAGCTCTTAAAGTACCAGCTGGTGGGCACAGAGAGGCAGAGCAAAGCTGGTCAGGGTGGTCTGGCCCCTCAGCAAGCAGGCAGGGAGAGCAGGTCACAAGTGTAATGAGTGTGCTGGACTCATCTGCAGCTCCAGGGCATGGCTGGAGGCACCCAGGGATGCTGGGGGTCGGTGCCACCAGCCTGGGGTATCGTCACATGAGTGGCACCTCTCCCATCCCCCCATAAACCACCCCATGGGTGGTGGTGAAGCCTGGCAGGATGGTGCTGGGGACAGGGCTGGGGGCTGAGCTGTGTCAGGACAAGTGTTGGGATGCACAGTGCCTGCTTGCAGCCAGCACCGTGGGCCTGATCCTGCCCAGCCCCCTGTGCTTGAGGGTGTCCTGGTGGCTCTGATGTGACACCCCCCTGTTGCCAGCACAGGGCAAGGGAGGAGGGAGGCGTGTGGCTGCTGGGCCCCGCAGGGCATGAGCCACAGCCTGGGTCAGCCAGGGCCATGGGAGCCTCCCCCCATCACCCACAGCCTGGACACAACCTGCTCCCTGTTCCTCCTCCTCATTCTCCTTCTCCCTTCCATGGCTTCCTTGCTCCTGACCACCCAGCACCCCACACCCAGCACCCAGCACCCCACACCATGAGCCTGCACCACGAGCTGTAAGCCAGCAAGTGCAGGGGGAAGGGGCACCCAGAGGGGTCCCCACGGGGGGCACCCACAGAGACTTCTGGGGCCACCCAAGGGTGCCACCTGCACCTGAAGGGCAGAGGGGGACAAGGCTGCAGCTGCTCCCTGTCTCTGCGTTGGGCTGGATGTGCTTTTGGGGGGCTGTTTCTTTTCCCTTTCCTGCATCAAATCTTTGGGGTTGTGGGTTGTTATCGATTCCTGCCCGGAGAACAAGAGGGCTCAACCTGCTCTGGCTTCAGCTGCAGTAACTGGGCACCAGGAGCAGGGACAGGGGGACAGGGCAGGTGCCCCAACGAGGGGAGCAGCATCTGGGGGCTCAAATCCAGGACTGGCCCCGTGGAGCTGCCGCCAGCCAGGCCGGCTAGGAGGACAGCTGGGGAAACTGAGGCACGGGAGAGGCAGGATGTACAAAATACACCTAAGGGCACCTCCCACCATTGCCAACAGGGTGGCAGCATCGCTGGGTTTCCCAGACAGGAGGTGGAGGAGCCTGGGGTCTTGCCGGACACGTCTGAGCTTTGGGACCCAAGCGTTTTACCGGCGTCACCTCGTCCCCTTCCCCAGGCTCGGGTCCCCAGGCCCGGCGGTGCCTCGTTCCCCTTGCACAACGATTCCCTTCGGGTCACTTTTTCCACCCCCTCCCCTCTCCATCCACCAACCACG